ATCCTACTGCCTCAGCAGGAGTGTTGGGATTACAGGTTTGTGTTAACACATCACTCAAAATATTTTTGTAAGTGGTGAGCATGGAAGAGATGTCCCCATTATTCATCTGTCATGTGGTGGCATGGTTGGGGAAGAGTAGCCCTCCCCCCCATCATGCAGGTGGGAGAGCTGGCCCTGAGGTCATAAGATTTGGAGTGCTGTCACTGACCCTTATCAACTGCAGCACTCAGGAGAATGGCCCCTACACCTTGCCCAGGCAACACAGTAGAACTAACCTGAAGGTGTAGGTATGGGAGAACAGACCCTGAGAACTTGAAAGCAGGAGAACTGGCCCTGCCCCTTACTCATCACTTCAAGAGTGAACTAGCCAGAGCAATGCAGGAGAGCTCACACTGGTAATGAGGACAAAGGAGAGCTGGCATGCTGGCCAACCCTGCAACTACTCTGCAGCTGTCCAGGCCCAGAACCAGGGTTATGAGTTAATCCACTCCAACATCCACCTCATCTGTGCTTTGCTGGAGCACCTGAAGGGGCAGGTCCTACAGATTACAAAGCTGCAGGATCTCTATGACACAGGATAACCAAAAAGAGTTCCAGTGAGGGTCCAGCATTGATAGTGTAGCAGAAGCCATATATACACAGCCAAGAATGGACAGCTGAATTAAAAAATCAACAACAATTTCCAGAATTTAAAATCCTGAATCATGACATGACACTAGTGGAATTCAGGTGTTTCTGGTACATGGACTGCTCTCACCCAATGTGAGGTTGAACTGTCGACCTTGTGTACATCCTACTTCACAAATGAGTCTGTCAGATATGCTAAGCCTATAGGCTGAAGATGATGCCCCAACACTGTGGAGAAACCTCAGGTGACTGTCCAGGCAGCTGGCTGTTTCTGTCAACTCACAAATTTTTTGGAAGTTGCTTGCATGCACTTTCTGTTTTTATTTTTGTTAGCTAATATTATTTCCTTCTTGGGTCTCTGAGGGAGTTGAAGATTAGTTAGTTATAGTTGAAGGTTAGTTAGTTATAGTTGAAGATTAATTAGGATAGAAAGTGAATTAGATACATTTTGGACTTAACAAAATAGGATAGATAATGAAATTATTTTCTCTGAATTTGTCAAATACAAATGGACTAGACATTGTTTAGACATTTATTACTTGTATATATTGTATATAGTCATTGTACTTTTGTATATAGTTTTTCTTTTGTTAGTTATAACCTTTTTCTTTTTTTTCCTTTTTATTAAAATAGAAAAGGGGAAAAAAAAATAAAAATAAAAACACACACAAAAAAAAAAAAAACAGAACAATGACTGTTTACAATTAACTTGTGCAAGTAAACATATATAGATAAAAGGGTTAACTTCCATGATGAGATTGATTTTTTCCTTTTTTTTCTCTTAAATTTTATTTTATTTTATTTTGGGGAGAAGGTTGGAAGGGCAGAGAGTAGATATGAAGGGACAGGGAAATGAATGGGATAGAGATGCATGATGTGAAAAACACAAAGAATAAATAAAACGAAAGTTAATTTTTTTATTATTCAAATTATATGTAAAATTAGAAGTTATTTGGCAGACAAAAATTACTTTAATGTAGGTTAGTTTTTTGTTTATGTGCCTATTATTACCCAAAATATGATTTCATATTAATGTAAAATCAAATTTACGTTAGAAGCTTTTTCATATTAGATGTTATATCATAACTTAGATCAGAGAAACTATATTGATTTAGATAACATTGTAGTTGTGATCTCTTGAACTCAGTGTATTTTTGTTGAGTAGTTATTTCTGTTTTCAAAGTATATCATCTCTTTCACTAAGAGAAAGGAAAAGAAAACTTGTGACATATATCACTGTTTTTCAATATTTCCCATCCGAGTACTATCCAGGCCCCACCCTGCTTAGCTTCAGATATCAGATGAAATAGAAAAGTTAAGGTTCGTACAGTCATACATGACTTTGAATGTTTCAATTTTCATTTTCCATGTGTATGCTCAAAATCAATTATATTTCAGTGTAGGGAAATATTTATCTTAATTAAAACAATCTTATGTTCCTTTCTTTCACTTCTTAAATAGTATCACAAACTATGATTTTTTTCAGGGAAAATAATAATAAATAATGATAATTAAAATAATAACATACTGACTATAACTACTTCTTTCTCACTAAATAACTTGTTCAATTTTTACATTACATAAAATTCCTGAAAAAAAAGGTTATGAAGATTTCTGGGTTCTTGTTGCACAGTATGACATAGTAATTTGAATATTTTAAATTTAACCAACAAAGATTTATCACAGAGTACTTTTAGCATTTCTTTGACTAGAAAAAAAGTAATTATTATGGAAAGAATGCCATGGAATACATTCACTTACTTTGCTCTTCAACATTAAAAGGTAAGGAGAATGAGTCACATGTTAATTGTCAGGGTTAAAACACTTTGCTTTGAAACAGTTGAATTGTTTTGATGTTATTTAGTGCAGCCAAATGTCTCAAACTTGTTTCTGTTAGTCATTTTGTATTCAATGACACATTTTAACTCTTTTGTGTGTCATTTAACAAACACCTAATGGATTTAACTCTTTTGGAGCATCACATCTTCTTCATGAAGACAAGAGGGCAACAGGCATGATTATACTTAAACACCACCTTTATTCCCTATTTTCTCTCAAATGCCAATCTTCTTTTTCTTTCTGTCTTGACAGCATAAAATGCACTTATTGTTTCAGTATATTTTTTGGTGCCTTTCCAGGAGGCTTCTAGCTATATCAATTAAAATGCCTTTTTCTGGGAAAAATCACATAGCCTCTCTGATAATTGTCAGAATTTTATTTTCTTCTTATAACAAGTTATTAGTTAAGTGCTGTCAGGAAAGAAGTTTTTTTTCCTCCAGACAATAAGAATGTTGTGCTTGGGTCTTTAAGGCATAAATTATAGACAGTAGCAATGTACTAGTATTAAATTCAACATAATTAAAATTGAGAGTGGGCTATAATAAACTCACTAAGGGAAAAACAACCCTTCCTTCTGGCATGTTGAATACAAATGTAAGCAATATTCTCTTTGAAATTAAGGGTAATTTAATTTAATTTTAATTAAACATGAATATAACAGCCTACTATAGAGAAAAGTTCATTGTTAATGTTAGTCATCTCACTTTAAAATTTGTAGGATGTAGTTTGAAATATCAATAAAAAGCTTTCTTAAGTTGGAATTAATGCATGACAGAGCATATTTTATTTATATGGAATATTTTTTGTTACAATGGAAAAACTGCATCTATATACATGGTGTTTTATATATAAAGAGCTTAAAGGTGATATACTTGAAAGAATAATAAACTTTCAACTAATTTGTGGCACAGAGCTATAGTCAGTTTATGGACAGCAGAACAATGAAGATAAGAAATGATTTATCAATTGTATTGTGCATTCTTTCAAAATTCTAGCAAATTAATGTAAAACTAATTGCATAACGTATTTCTTCATTACACAAAACAATGTCAGCCTGCAAGATACAGCTGAACTTCCACTTCAGTAAAGGCAGTTAGTGTCAATCATTTTCCAAAGATTTTCAACAGCATATAACAATAGTACATAGAATATCTTATTTGCTCTATAGTAGTAAATGCCAGTAAGAACACTGTGATTATTATGAATAATGAACACATTGTATAAGGTATCTAAAACTATTTCGGCTTTTAGTTTTATATTGAGAAAACACAATAAGATAGATATTAGACAGCTCTGATCAAAATCATTTAGTCCTTAAATTTAGGCACACTTTTAGATAATTTTAAGTTATAGAAAATGAGCATTTATATCTACAAATATTTACGTATAACTTCTGGGGTCAACAACATAAATTCAAATAAATTGTAGACGGAAAAAGCCCTGAGTTAAAAAGGATAATATGTTTTCTTCCTTAAGGGCATATGTCTCTGCTACAGAATCTCAGGTGTATATACAATAATTGTGTTTAGAATCATGGCAATTATGCCTATATTTCTGAAATTTCTATTTTGCAGGTTATATTCAGCAATTAAATGTTTAATTGTTTAAGGCTCCCTTCTCACTTTTATCCGTCTTATGCCCCCTTTTAGATCAGTGTTTCTCAGAGCCCTGGAATCATGAATACTCAGCGTCACCCAGAGCCTTGTTAAATGAGTGATTGTATGAGCAGATATGGGCCCCAGAAATCTGTATTTTAGTAAGATCCACAATTTATTTTGACCTTGAGAACCACTGTCCAGATTGTTCTTACCTATGTCCATGACTTCAAATGTCATATCAATGTAGATGACTCACAAATTATATCTCCAGTTGAATCTTTACTACTATCTACTTTAAATACCACAGGATATATGAAGACACCCCGACTCTATGTGCTCCCAGATAAAACTCACACTCTTGTCTCATAAACATGATACTCTTCCATTATCCCCCATCTTTCTAAAAATTATGATGAAATTCATCTTGGTTTATATTCCATAAACCTAGTAGTCATCCTTGACACTTTCTACACCTTCAGTTCCCATAGAAAACTGAGTTGATTTTTACCTCCTCAAGGTATCTTGAATATATCTACTAGTTTTCAATTTCACTGCCACCATTATAGTCCAAGTTAGTCTTTTTACCTATCTCTCTGTAAGCCCTTTACTCCTTTTTTTTCCCCAATTTCTTCTCTATAGGATCCTACCTATTTCTGAAAACCTTTTAATTGCTTTCTTTGCCTCTTTAAATAAAGTTATTTACTTGATGGTCCATAAACACTCAAAGTACAAATGTACCTTCTCTATAAGTCCCATTCTGTTACATATTTCCACATTCTGACACCCTGACCTTCTAATACACTAAATAACATTAGGATGAAAATGAAATAATTTTTATTTTTAAAATGTCATTATTTTCTATGATTGAAGGACATACCTGTAACAAAATTGTTCCTCAATATACATTATGTGAATAAATGAACATAAAGTACTTACTAATTCATCTCATCCAAGCATGTGCCAGCAAAGTAGAAATCCTTGATTCTTGCATGGGTGGCTTGGAAAGCACTATGGGAAAAAGGCAAAAAGCATAGAATTCATTTTTCTTTCTAACAACTGTTAGAACATTTAATCCTATAACATTCTGAAAGGATTGAAGCAGTCATCTAGTAAAATCTCTAATATATATCTAGGTAAAATGAAGCCTTAAAGGATTAAATAACTTGCCAAAGGTAATACGTTAGTAATGGAAAAATAAGAAGGACACTGATTTTTTTAATCAGGCACTCAGAGAGTATTCTGATTCTTAAAAGAGGGAGGGGGGACTGGGAGGAAGGGAGGGAATGGGGATTGTGGTTAGGATTTATTGTTTGAGAAAAGAATAAAGAAAAAGAAAACAAGATTTGGAGCACTCCTGTTTTTAAGCAAACCGGTGAACTAGGGTGTTTTAAAATAATTGAGTTATTAATCAGATTCGACACTTCTTCAGAATAATGAAGTTTCTCTCAAATAGTTCTTCTAAATTCCATTAAGTATTTTTCTATTGATATGTAGAAAAATAAATATGGCTCTCTTCTTTCTCTTGATCTATGTCTTTTCAAAAGCAAAGGATGTGCCTATGCCTATGAAATAATTTATATCTATCCATCCATCTATTGTCTATCTATCATATATCTACCTACCTACCTACAAATGCTGTCTGGAATGAAAGACAGTACTTAAAGAGTAGTATCAGTTTGGCAATAATATAAACTATGCCTTAATAGAAAAAATAGAATTTTTCTGAGGATCTTTCTTTGTTTAATTTACTCATTAATATCATTATCAATCATATATGGATATAATTCCAATTCCTATCCTTTGCCTGCATGCTGTTTTCATATATGTAAATGTTATTAGAATTAGCAGAAATTTTCTATGTGCCTCTCATTCATTAATTCATGTATTTTACAGTTTAAATTCCCATGTGTAAAATATATACTTTCAAGTAGAAAAAATGATGCAAATTAAGACAAAAAATGAAGAATTTTTAAATGTCCTGTTAAAACAGAACTCTGAGAGCATCCATTCGAATGTGATTAACGTAGTATAGGGCACTATGTAATATTATGGGATATTTATAACACTGAGTTTCTTTTGATCAAAACCAAACTCTTGTATACCTCCTATCACAGTATTTTCTAGTAAATTTAATATAATTTGATAATATCCCTAGTAACAGAAGCTCTTGATTGTTTTCTTTTAGAGTTTATAAGTCACCTTACAAAGTTGAGAATTTTCTGATATCCACTTCCATACAAAAATGTTTTTTCAATAATGACCCTGATTCTGCAAATTCATCCCATACTAGCAATAAAGGATCATCCTGATATTGCTTCATTAATTGGGATATTACTTCCAAATAGTATGAATTTACAGTTAGTTCAATTCTTTTCCATTTAAGATATGTGTTAAATGGTTATTTAATTTATTTAAATATTCTCACAAACTGGTAGAAAACATCTAATATTACTCTTTTGTAAAATAGCAGTGTTGGCCTTCATCAAGAAAACCTCTTTTGGAAGTTTTAAAAACAATAAATCTACAAGTACACTTAAATTCTTAAATCCAAATTGCTTCTTTTAAGGGAAGCCTTAAGTTTTATTAGTTTAAACTTTCCAGCAGCATGATAATAAATTAAGAGTTCAAAATTGGAACTGGGGTTGTAGCTCAGCAGTGGAACACTTGCATCGTACATCCAAAGCCACTAGTTTCAGGCCCTGCTTCACAAAAAATATTGAAGCTTCCTTAAATCCAACAGACTGCCAGTTGCTAGATGAAAAACTTGGCCAAGTACATTTAACCTCTTAGTCATCTCATCTGTAGAAGCAGGACAATGCCCCCCTGGAGATGTATTATATTACATAACATAGGCTAATTGCTTAGCACACAGCACCTGGTAGACAGTGTGTACTGAAAAGATAGAAATCAGGAATTTCATAGGATCAGATTTTTCCAACTAATTTTCAAGGCTAGCAACAGCAACATTGTACTTTTCAAACACCTTTTCATAGTACCTGAGAGTTGAGACTGGATTAAAAATTTGGGCTTCTAAGTTTTATTGTATCAAAAACTCTAGATGAAACATGTTCTCTGACATTGCTTTAAATGCATGAAAATATGCAATGGAGTTTTAACTTTCTCATACTCGTTCAGTCTGTAATTTACTACTTCAATCATGTTGGGTCTGTATATACATTTCAGTTTAAAATTATTTGAGATATTAATTCCAGTATTTGGCATATATTCAAATTCAGATATGAAATTCCAATTCAAGAGTGGAAATTGACCAAACACCAATTTTTTTATTGTTATTTACCCATGTATGTTTTTTCACCTTACAGTTTATATCTTTTTGTTTGTTTGTTTGTTTTTATTTTTTTTGAGACAGGGTTTCTCTGTGTAGTTTTGGTGCCTGTCCTGGATCTCACTCTGTAGAATAGGCTGGCCTTGAACTCGCAGAGATCTGCCTGGCTCTGCCTCCCAAGTGCTGGGATTAAAGTTGTGTGCCACGACCGCCCAGCTCACCTTATGGTTTATATCTTAAATTTCTTGGTATTACTGCCTTCTTAATTTCTGAAGCTCTCTTAGTAACCTAGCAATAAGGGTATTACATACCTGCATACTTCCTGCTATTTACTCCAGGTGCTAAGTCATACATCTAGATGACTACTACTATTTTTCAATCACGTATTTAGTCATAGCATATGTTTCTATAGTGAATCTGTTAGAATATCATAGCTTGTTTCTTTTTTTGTAATAACCTCTCTCACAGCCTTTTAAAAAGAGGTTCATGTAGAGCTTTGTTAATATAATTTTGTTCTTAACTTTCTGGATGACCAAAAATAGTGTTTTAAGATTCCATAGATCAGTTTATGTAAAAATTACTTTAAATTTACTTACTTACAGCTCTCCATGATTAATGATGATTTATAGAACATATTTTTAAAAGTTCTTAGTTTGTCCAAGTCAAAGCAGAGGGAAGGTGGTTAATCATTTCCAGAAAGGGCACTTTTAATAATTTGGCAAAGAATGCATCTGTCAGACTGCTGGTGTTAATATGCAACAGCCATTGATCTAGTCTCTTTCTAATACCTTTGAAGAACAGTACTTCTGTGGACTAATTCCAGAAAGGATAAAAAATACAAAATTTGTATGTAGATAGATAGATAGACAATTATAATTCCAAAAATACTTCTGTAGTTTGTGTTTTTATACAAACTTATCATGTGCGTAAATTCACAAGTGACATCATTCTTAAAGATTGACTCTTCCCATGGACATAGCTGATAATATCAGGCATGTTCAGGGCAGGATGTCTGTAGATCATAGTCTGATCATGGTCTGCCATAATTTACCTAGTTCTATAAATGTTAAAGAATAAAAGGAAAGTGCTTTTGCTGCATCAAGAACAGATGACCTTTATTACAAAGCAATTTTCTCCCTGAGCATCCTGTGCGATGAGGTCAAATATTTGGTGCACAATTTTCTAGAGTCTTGGTATGAAGCTGTTCCAATTTGCTGCTATTAAAAGTAAAACATCCAGTGACTCACATAAGGATATATCCTTTTTGGTATTCAACCTTTTTTTAAAAAATCAAATTTTGCGAATGTTCTTTGCATATCAATGTTAGATTTATGTTTCGATGTTCTTTCCCCCTAGTTTTAAGGCACTATATTTTTATGTTTTTGTTTTTCATAAGTATAAATATGATGCAGCTGACAAACATTCACGAAACTACCGAATGCCTCTTTAAATTGAAAAACTTCAACAATTGAGTCCACCAATGGACATTTAACATTTCTATTATATCATAAGTCATTCAAGACATTTCTGAAAGTCAAAGAAAATTGTGATAGCACAAATTAGATATTTTAGCATACTTTATGTTGAGAGTATGGCTTATCTAAAAAAGAGAATTGGAGGAGAATAAAATAACAATCACAGTTGATAGGAGTCTGACCTAGGTTCCTTGCATATATGTTATGGCTGAGTAGATTGGTGTACTTGTGGGATTCCTAACAGTGGGTGTGGGGGTGGTCACTGACTCTTTTGCCTAATTATGGGACTCTTTTCCTCTTGCTGGGTTGCCTCATCCAGCCTTGATATGATAGTATGTGCCTGGTCTTATTTTAGCATATGCAGTGTTTAGTTGATGTCCCTGGGAGGTTTGCTCATTTCTGAGGGATGACTGAGGGGGCATGGGTTTGGGGGAAAGGAGAGATGGGGGCCCTGGAGGGAAGGGAGGGAGGGAAAATGGCAGCTGAGATGTAATATATGAAATAATAATAAAAGAAAAACAATCACAGTGAAAAATGGGGTATCCTTTAATGTTTATGTAAGTCATCAATTTAAAGTATAACATTCTTCCCATAGTAAATAGATTTTCAAAAGTTGGGTGTTACTCCTCTTTATTCTAAGTCATATATTGTCACCAAAAAACATATTTCTTTACAAATTCTTCATTTAAAAATAAGTTTACTACTTTTTAAAAAGCTCAGGCATCTTCCTGAAGTAACGACTATTTCATAATGTGAATTGTGTATTCATAATTAATCTTTTAAAATAAAAATTTCAATTAAGTATCATACATATAAGACATTAAAACCCTGATAAAATGTTCTTTCTCTAGAATATCATAATATTGATAGCATAAAATCAGTATTGGCAAAAAAAAAAAAAAAAAAAAAGGGAAGCCGGGCAGTGGTGGCGCATGCCTTTAATCCCAGCACTCAGGAGGCAGAGCCAGGCGGATCTCTGTGAGTTCGAGGCCAGCCTGGGCTACCAAGTGAGTTCCAGGAGAGGCGCAAAGCTACACAGAGAAACCCTGTCTCGAAAAACCAAAAAAAAAAAAAAAAAAAATCAGTATTGGCATCTTTCTACTAGCAGAATAGTGCACTTTAAGGGAACTGACTTAATAATTACTTTATATATCAGATTAAAGAAAAACTTAGATCATATAATTAGACTTATCAGTAGAGAAAACTCACTAGAAAATGTTAAAATTCACTGATTTTTTTTGCAATGCTATAGGTTTAAAATTTTTATTTAGGTAAGTATGTGTGACCAAATTTATAGCCTTTGGGATTCCCTCACTTTCCTCAAACCATCAGGTTGGTCTACTCCTTCATAAACACACCCAAGAAGTCACAGGAACTAATCTTGTCAGAAGAATTAATAAAATGAAAGTCTAAAAAACACCATAAAACAACAAAACGATGGGAATTAATTATTATAAATAATATAACTTTGACTTTAGAAGCAAGAACTTCTCACTGTAGTAAAAAATGCTCTCTTGAAGTTTGATTTATGAATCAGAAGGCTACATTTTCTTCTTCCTTAAGTGGTTCTCAATTTATAAGTTCTTTGATTTGATAGTACCTTAAACTCTAATCAAATCTGATTTTGAATTTTGAGTTTCCTTAAATAATTGTCCAAGGAATTTAGGTCTTTTTGGTTTTGGAAGATTTCTAACTTCTGTTACTTGAAGTATATATATATCTAGCAATTAGTTTACTGTGTTTATAGCTCTATTACCACTTAAGTATGTAAATGACATAAAGAAGAAAAAGAATGAAACAAAGTTAGAGGATGCAAACGGGTAAGAATTCACTTCCATTTTTTGTGGGGGATCACTTGATGGACATGGGGATATTTGAGAACTGAGGTGAAGATCTGGTCTATATTCATATATGACGAGCATTTATGAAACAACTGAATGCCTCTTTAAATTAAAAAAAACCTCAATAATTGAGGCCATCAATGGTCATTTAACATTTCTTTTATATCATAAGGCATATATGTATACACACACGCACACATGCACACACACACACACACACACACACACACACATATATATATATATATATATGGAGTTCATTTTCCTTATATATACTTAAATACAGTCAAGTAAGACAAGATAACCCTTAAGGTTTATAAAGAGTCTGACTCTATTTTGATATTTGACTGCTGATAGTTTTCATTTTCTACTCTGCCATCTCTTCCTGTTTGGCTGGACCTTTAAACTCTAAAGTCATAGGTGACCATAAGAAAAAAATCTAACTAATCTCGCTTTTCAAGCTATTTTTATATAGCTTAGGATGCCTGCCTGTTATGGTCTCAAAAAGGCTCATTCTGTAAATAAACATTTTATCCATAGTCTCTTGCTGTGTGGAATATTAACATCTGCACCAAATTCAGGAGTAGTATTTGTTCCCCTTCTGCAGGGAATCTTATCAAATTAAGAATCACTGATTAAAAAAAATACCAGGACTCTGAATGATTTGACATTATAATGATTGATTTCTGTTTTCCAAATTGAAGAGAGCAGGTAAATACTATAAAGAACATAGTAAAAATGAGAATAATAAAATAAAAACCTCAAGTTCAGGGGATATGTGTTAACAACAAATACAAGTTTGAAAGTATATTTTAAGAATCGGATCCATATAGTTTTATATTTATATGTTTATTCTCTTTATAATTTAATCATTTACTCTAATGTTCAAGTGACTTGGGCCTTGAGTAGCTTAACTCTCTTCCACTTTTAAATTAAGTCTGGTTTTCTGCCCTCAACTTTCTCATCGGTAGATAAATCACACCTATACATCATAGGCCAGATTTGGAAAAACAATGTAAATTGCAATACTAACTGCATACATAAATGCTGTCTAACAATATTGCAAGTCTACAGTAGCAGAAACATAGTATTTGCGTTGGAAAGCTACACACTAGAACATTTTTTCTACTTACTTTAATAATGAACATTTAAAGACTCTAGCAGAGAGTTTAAGATATAAAAATATTCGTTAATAGCCTTTTACTTAATCTTATTGGTAAATCAAACACTTCTTCAACTTGATGTTTTCCAATTTCTTTCCAAGTTTTCGTGTCTTTTAATATAATTAAGAAACAGTAAATTAAAAAATAACATCATTATCCCTACCACTAATGTATGACAGTTGCTTTAACTTTGTACCATGTAACCTATTTTTATATCTCTTTTAATATCTCTTTAATTGGACTTATTTCTCTTCCTTGGACTTTCTGAAGTCTGTTCATCTCTTTTGATGTCTGTTAAATCCAGATACTCTATAATAAGAATCTGACTTACATAATAAAGAGCATACCATCCAGGTATTTCTAGCTATCCAATCAGTGTTTCCTAATTATATACTGACCTCCCTCTAACATGTTAATTTTATAATACTTAAATAATATACAGAGTGAACAGATTTGACTTGTACAATTATAATTATGGCAAATGTAGAAAGACTGTGAAAAATAAAGTAATATTATGATTATTCCATAATATACTCATATTTTAAAATAGTTTATAGTTAAATAAAGATAAATAATGAATTAGAGTGGTATCATAATTTGAAAATATATTAGCTATTATGTTTATCCTATGGGATCTATTAACTATAAGTTCTACTCACAGTATAATCCTGAAACACTACTTGTCTGAAAAATCATGAAAGGAACTACAAGAAGAATTTAGAATTATAAACTGGACCCTGTTATAGCTCTATTTTAGGGTATTAATTTGAACTCTCAATTTAAAAGTCACTTATTACTTACTGTTCTCTTCTGCAGTGTGGAGCTAAGTCAATTCGGAATTCTGGTAGGTAAATGAAACCATCAGCCTTGGTGTCCTAGGAAAGAATGAAAAAATATAAGTGGAAGATTTAAGAGAGAGAGTACAAGTTGAAATGGAAAAACCAAGAGCTAGGTCACCAGTGTTGTAACAAACATTTTTCTAGACTGCTTATTAAGGAATGCAGTTTGCTTAGCATGCACTTGAAATAGCTTTCTGCAAAGCAAATGGACCATGCATTTATTAAACCATCAATGGTAACAACAGATTTTACATTAATGATTATACAGAATTATTTCAAAATATGCAAATAGCTCTCACCATCATTAAGGCATTTGAAGCAGACAAAAATATATCAATGAAGCCCAGCAAAGAGAAGAGCTATAGCAGCATTTAGAACATTAATAAACCTTCAGTTGTCTCACATAGAATGATGAGAACAGGTATCAATCATTTTCAACTTCAAAGCTTCTGAAATATCTAATAGTGAAATATCTAAGGATGAAATTGTTTAGCATTAGAGCATCACAGAGCAGATTTTGAAATTTAATCTTTTATTTCTGTGTCCTTTATATCATATATATATATATATATATAAGCAACCCATCAAATTTGTAACACATTGTCATGAACTGACACAAGGCTGAATACCTTCCTACATATTTATAGAACTTATTCAATCCTAGTCATCATAAATCTGCCCATGTTTACCAGGCCACTTTTTTTCTGAGTCACAATTTCTTCAAGGATAAAAAGGGGATTATGTTATTCCTAGGTTTTAACATTTGTAACTCACAAGGGAAAAGATACTTTAGAATATTAAAGTTATGAGAAATATAAGTCTAGTAATCTTGAAATTAAAAACAAATCAGAACCTATATATTTTATTAACAATCTGATAAAGGATCATTTAGAAAAAATACTCACAAAAGTGGAATCATTAAAAAAGGTGCCAGAACATTGATTCATCTTATATTAAGTAAATTAATTGTAAGAAAATTCTTTAGGTGAAAAAAACTATAGTGAATAGAATTTACTATTGTGGTGATATTTTCTTGGTGCACCCCAATAAAGCTTATCTGAGGATCAGAGGAAAAAGTCAGCCACTATAGCAAACATAGAAGTCAGGCAATGGTAGCACATGCATTTAATCCTAGCATTTGGGAGGCAGAGATCCATCAGGCAGAGTGAGTTCAAGATCAAACTGGGGGACAGAGCCAGGCATGGTGACACATGCCTTTAATTCAGCACTAACCATAGAAGTCTGGAGGTCTGTACAGACAGAGAGGAAATGATGTAGCTGGGTGGAGAGAGGAAGTGAGTTGGCAGAACAGAAAGGCATATAGGAGTGGGTATACAGGAAACAGGTCTCTTTGGAGACTGAGGTGTTGGTAAGGTAAGGTTGTCTGTGACTTGTCCTATTCCTTTGATCTCTCAGTTTCAACCCCAATATCAGGCTCTAGATTTTTTATTAATAAGACTGTTTAGCAATTCTTCTTACATCTGGTGCCCAATGTGTTTTTCTGTTTAATTTCAACAGGGGTAACATTCATGATATTCATTATGTCTGGCTGGAATATGATTTAGTACTTCACATTTGCTCTTTAAAACTTTCAAATTTAAAAAAGAAAAATTCCACATTGTTTGAGAAAAAGGGAATAGGAGAATATGATGGGAAATAATATTCATTAAAAACTTATGTGACAGACATTGTACCATGTTTTTTTACATATGTTAACTAATTATCACAAATAGTCATTGATTAAACTATTATATTGGAATGTATATATATATATGTATATATATACATATATATATAGTGCCACATATGAGAGATATATTGCTGAATCAGTTAGGTGACACCAGGGGAGATAAATATAGTACTTTTGAAAGCTTATGATCTAGGAGGAGACAGTTTTAATATAAGAATAATAAATTAGAATTACAAGGGGTCAAACGCTGTGATTAAAGTTATATGACACTGAGTGATAATGAGCATTTAACTGGTAGAGTAGGATCAAGAAAGGCTTCCCTATGAAGTGATGTATTGAAGTAATATCTGAAGGGAAATTGAGTTGTTAATGAAATTAACATTCAGGGATCATGGAATATTACAAGAAGAAGTAAAACACATGTAAAGATTCCATAAATGGATGGAGCACAGCACATTCGAGAAAATAGAAGTGGCCAGTGTAGCTGGAATGTAAAAATCACAGGGTGGATAGTACAAGATATAACAGAAGAGGTACAGGATTTATATAAGGCTTGATAGTCCATGATAAGGACATTTTTGTGTAAGAGTAATGGAAAGTTAGTAATGGCTTTCAATAGGGAGACAAATAAGAAAATGGGGTGAAATGAGGTAGTAGGGATATGGCAAAATTTATATTTAAAAAGATCCCCTAATTACAGTCGTGAACTAGAGGGAGGCCAAAGTGAATATAACAAGACAGAGAGTGGCGACTATTGAAATTGTTTGAAAGCTAACAATGGCTTGGACTAGACAGTGGAAATGGGGAGAAAATGATGAACTTGATAGATACTTAGGGGATAATTTTGGAGAGACTAGAGATGGATACACTGTATGAAGCAAAAAAGTAGGATTTGAGGATAACTCCTTAGCAGAAAACCAGAGGGAAGAGATCATTTTAAGGACAGCAGTATAATGAAGTTTGCTTTGCACATGTTGAATAGGGGAAATCTTGATAGCCCTATGGAGAGATAACTGAACTCATGAGTCCTAAATGTATGATGAGAAATTTAGGGTATAGCAATAAATACATGTGACTTCTACATGCATATAGTAATTTAGGCTGTATACATTGGAAAATAATTATTGAAAGATGTGTATAACAATAACAAAACCTAAAGCTGGTTCCTAAAGAACTGAAACTTAAGTGTTTTAGAAAATATGATGAAAATGAGGAAAGGTCCAGTAAAATGAAGTCTGAAGGTGTCTTTTGGACTTAGCAACATCAACGTTTCATGGTTATCTTCTGAAAATTGTCCCAACAGAGTAGAGGGAAAGAGAGATTAGAGAATACTTGAAGTGAGTTAATGAAGACAGCATAAAAATAGTATCAAGAAGTTTGGCTGTACATATCAGGTGTTAAGGTAAATGCTGAAGCTTTAATCAAAGCTCTAGACTCCTCTCCCCAGTGGGATAACTTTCAGAGCATCTTATAGTTGCTATGTCCAAAATAAAACTCATAACCTTGTCAATTCCTTCCTGTAAAATGATATTTGTTTGGCTTTATAACCAGTAAAAGGCACCTCATTCATTTCACTTTTATCCAAATGAAAGGATTCTAGTACTTTTAAAAAAAGTTTGTGACATGGATCTGGTTGAGAGGGAGAGGATCAACACATAAGAGAAAGAGAGATGAAAATTTTGGCAAGTATTATGACTCATTTTGAAGAAAATGGGCTTCAAGGAAGATAAATAACTTTCTTGATCTCTTGAAGTTAATAAGTGATAGGGCTTGGAGTAAAACCAGGTATTTTTTGTTTCAAAACCATTAAACCATTGATTAAAATACATTTACTAGACATACTAGACAACTTGGACAGCCTTTTTAAAAGCAAGAAGTAGCATCAATAGCTTATTCCTGACATTTGGTATTACGAGTATCTTTTTATTTGCCAGAAGTATATACCCTTACTACTAACACAAAGGACTATTTTCAGCAATAGACTTTCTTTGCTTCCTGGTGTACTTACATTCAGATGTGAGAACCAGTAGAGAGTTGAGTGTTTCAAAATAAACCAGTATTTTTTCCAACTAAAAAAGGAGATTCCTCTAGATTCTCTCTTATGATAAAGCCATCCCTCGCATTTCCCATGGCCCATTTCAGTACAGGCTATTGCACAAAATCGGGGTTTAGAACAAGAACGGCGATCTTCCTCAGAGAAAAATGTGGGCAAGAGCCTTTTAAACCAAGTCACTGCAAAAACAAACAGGAATAAAATGTTAGTTTGGATGTCATAGCAATACAGACTAAATTATCATAACATTTTCACAAGTTTACAATAATCTAGCAAATCACCAATATTAGACAGTTGTTCTTCTCACTACAAATGGTAATATTTTTATTTTTCTTTACTTATAGTCATTTATATTTCTTATTTTGTCAGTAGTTATTTAAGCATTCCTTTTGCTTTTCTCCCTACTGTTCTATTAATTTTTAAGTTGATTGATATATTAAGGATATTAACCTTCTGTCTGTCATATATATTCAAAATCTTTCCCCCAGTTTATCTGCCTTTTACTTTTGTTTATGACACTGTGTATGTATACAGTTTCCACTATTTAGCCATAGATACGAAAAGCATATGTTTTTTTGCCTTTTATTGTTAGAAGTTTTACTCATTTTTACATTGAAATCACTAAGACATCCTGCTTTTTGTATATCATGTAAAATAGGGATCTTGGGATATTTCTATTTACAAATGTTCTGACAGTTGCTCTGAACCATCTATTGAATACTCTTTTCTCTACTGATTTCAAGTATTATCATTATTATACTTTGAATTATTTTGTATATTTAGTCTATTTCAATATTTCTAATTTCTTTCATTAAAATATCAAAACATTTTATCTTTTCTGGATAGTATAATCATACACTCAAAATAATTTTTGTAATTTATTAAGGAATATTTATTTCCAGTTAATTGTATAATTATTTTTGGATTTTTTCTCATACTATTTTCGCCTAGATGAGCTTTTAGAACTAGGCTTAGCTTCCAAACACATTTTGTTGAAATTCTGATTGAAAAATTTAAGGTGAATTTAAAACACATAATATTTACTACAGTGGATATTATTATCTTTAAATATAGCCATGTAACACAATTTATCAAGACTTTTCTGAAAAGTTTCTGTTTTTCTCATATATGTTTTATATATTTCATTTTCTTTGGTCTTTTGAATTTTATTGTTTTTGTTGCTATATTAGATCAAAATTCCATCTACTAGTTAGTATTTTATTGTTGTTATGCATTATATGATATAAAGGGTTTTAACCTCACAAGTTCAATGTCTCTTATTCTACTTGTTAGTAAAGAACCTAAATCTGTAAAGACAAATAAGAAATGTAAATAAATTAGTTTTAATTAAAGTAAGTTAATGGATATAAATCTAACATTTTATCAGTGCAAATGAGATTATGAATGTCACCAAGAAAAGAATTTGGCTCATTTGAAAAATACTTTTAAAGTATCTCAGCATAATAAACATGGAAGTTAGGCCTGGGAATACTTCGATATATTGAGCTTATCAGTCCTTGTAAAAGGTCAAGACAAACCTATTCCTAGTATTAAACTTTAAAAAATGTTCATATTATATTAATTATAACTGTCATATATGTCACTATAAGTTTATAGTTGTACTTCTAAAAGCATATCACTCCAGAGTCCAGCCTGTAAAAATTACTCTAATTACCAATTTACTGGTCTCTCGGGATCCTACTAATATAAGCAAATTTTCCAGCAGGTTTAAGTTGAATAGCTGCTCATATTAGGTTACTTTACTTGAAGAGCTTATGTAAAAAAAAAAAAAAAACCTACAGATCTCTTCACAAAGCTTTTCAAAGTTGCATGTTTTTCTTATGGTCAGCTATTTCTCAGGAGTACATTACCAAGGAGAATAGTTTAACACAGAATAATAAAGTAATGGTATTGCTAGCACAGTAGTTCATTTTGTTGTGTTAGTTCATACAGGTATAAATATGTAAGAAAGATGAAGACTAGAATTGTAATGATTTCTCAATATTGATACTTAAAATTTTAGTCTCTCCTTTCCACTTCTACTATGGAAGCGTCAGTGATAAAGATAAATTCTTCTTCAAGACCTTAGATCCAAATATTTTCAAAGCTACAAATGTGTTAGAGATCATGTATTTTAATCTTTAGCTTCACTGAGGGAGAATTAAGACCAACAAAATTCAAGTGATATTTGCAATGTTATTGCAAGTTGGTGATAGATCTCGATCAAGAATGCTGTGGGACGGTCTGTATGTCAAATGTGTTGCTGATTGGTCAACAAATAAATCACTGATTGGCCCGTGGCCAGGCAGGAAGTATAGGCGGGACAAGGAGGAGAATAGAGCTGGGAAGTGGAAGGCTGAGTCAGAGAGACACTGCTAGCCGCCATCAGGACAAGGAAGATGTAAAGTACCGGTAAGCCACAAGCCACGTGGCAAGGTATAGATTAATAGAAATGGATTAATTTAAGCTGTAAGAACAGTTAGCAAAAAGCCTGCCATGGCCATACAGTTTGTAACCAATATAAGTCTCTGTGTTTACTTGGTCAGGTCTGAGTGGCTGTGGGAATGGCGGGTGAGAGAGATTTGTCCTGACTGTGGGCCAGTCAGGAAAACTCTAGCAACAAATGGCGCCCAACGTGGTGGCAAGAGTTTCCACCTAAAAACTGAGAAAAGATTCTAAAACGGAGCTAAAAACAGTTCCTAATTGTCTCTCTCAAATGAGCGGCAGCTGCCGGTTTGAGCTACTGGTGGGTTCCTAGCATGCGCGCTCGACCTGCCGCCATATGGCGGGAATGAGGCCTCTGCAAGTGGCACTTTGAGCTGCATGGTGGATTTAGACTTTGCTAGCACAAAACGAAAAAAAAGAGGTTTCTGGGCTACATGCTGCTTGGCTAAAAGCATAGACCCATGATAGCTCCCAGAGCTGGTGGTAAACTACCACCGCCATGTTGGGAAGCTGAGGTGGGCGGAGCCAGCAGCCACAGCTGCTGCAGCTTAAAGCAATAGATTCACAATAAGACAGATTCAGATGTAATAGTTTACAATGTGTGTAAAATATACGTAGGCTTGAAAGAGACAAAAAAGGTGATATATACAGTTATATAAACAAATACATAGTTTTAAAAAATAAAGTCTTTAAAGAGACAGTAAAATTAATATAAAAAATAAGCCACGTGAAGATGAATATTACACAGAGAATCTGGATTGTGTTGTCTTTGGGATTTTTAACTGCAGAAAAACATTTGATTGTAAAAGCTGTAGAGTTATGCCAAAATGTATATTTTAAAGGTACCTTGACTTCAAAATTTGGATATAAGGATATGTTGCTTTGGAAATGAGATTCTGCTTTTGTTCCCACAGAAAGCCAGAGGCTATGGATTTGTTCCAGATTAAGATACATCAGGTTTGACCAGCCAAGACCCCCTGAAAGGTGACACCAAGGCCCAGATGATCCAACATCCAGAATGGTTTCAAGGCAACTGGCTCAGACGATACAGCCTCATGGAGTACTCCATGATCCTAAAATTTTCTTTGTTTCCCCATAAGATACAGCGCCCCCTTCCAGCAGGAAGTAGTAAGAGAAGCTACGCCCAAATTCCCAAATATACCAAGCTGACTTTGGAGATGTGTAAAGGTTAAAACCTTCCTTTTTAAGAAAAGAAAAGGGGAAGTGCTGTGGGATGGTCTGTATGTCAAATGTGTTGCTGATTGGTCAATACATAAATCACTGATTGGCCCGTGGCCAGGCAGGAAGTATAGGCGGGACAAGGAGGAGAATAGAGCTGGGAAGTGGAAGGCTGAGTCAGAGAGACACTGCTAGCCGCCATCAGGACAAGGAAAATGTAAAGTACCGGTAAGCCACAAGCCACATGGCAAGGTATAGATTAATAGAAATGGATTAATTTAAGCTGTAAGAACAGTTAGCAAAAAGCCTGCCATGGCCATACAGTTTGTAACCAATATAAGTCTCTGTGTTTACTTGGTCGGGTCTGAGTGGCTGTGGGAATGGCGGGTGAGAGAGATTTGTCCTGACTGTGGGCCAGTCAGGAAAACTCTAGCTACACAAGAATCTAAGTCTTCAATTATACCTGTTTCCTATATTTGCCCATAACTCTTGCTGAGATTTTTAAAAGATACATTTACTTTAAAGCCTTTTACTGGATCCATATTAAAGAAATGTACTTGATAGCTTGCTAAAATATTGTTAAAGTAAATGTGTGCACTGAGGAGAGGTTGAAGAAAATTATATCAGCAATATTTTTTTCTAAATACTTGGAGTAATAATAAGACAAGCATCTTCTAACAAGGAACCCACCACAAAATTCAACAAACAAATAAAACAAAGTAGTTTGTCTATTTTATGAATTTTCTGTGAGACCTAAAGAAACCCCTCAGTGTACAACATACAGGGTTTGCTGTATTTTACACACACACACACACACACACACACACACACACACATATAATCTTTTTCATCATTTTTGAATGTTTAACTTAATTTATTGCCAGGAAAATTACCCATTATGAAACTGGGGTAGTTTGAAGAATGACCGACAAAAGGAAAATATATACAGTCAACAAAAGTTTGAGTCAAATGTAATTCTTAGAACCCATGTGTTTCTATTTCTTTGGATTAATCATTGCTATCAGGATATTTTCATATGGCATGCATATGTTACTAAAACTATCTGCTCATGCTACTATTCTTTAAAAGGAACTATAATAAAAATGTTCTATAACATCTCTGAGATTTTAGGGCTATTATGCTTCAGCTCTTCAATACAAGCAGTAGTTGAGAGAAATGCATTTACAAGAACAGAAGGGAACAAAGCCAACAAAAAGAAACTTACAATCGATCCAGTTTTGGGCCTTTGCCTTCATGAAGCAATTTATAAAATCCTATAAAGAAAAGAATATGCAAATTAACCCATCAAATTAAAAACTTATAATAATTTTCCATATTCATTTGATCAGGCAATGATAATGCTTTAACTTCACCTAAACATATAGAAGTAATATACAAATACTTTAAAAACTTTAAAAGCACCAAAATATTTTAGTATAATCAAGAATTGCTAGTCATTTTATAATAGAAGGGAGATTAATTAGAATGTAGGAAAGTACAAAAATATTTTACTATAATTAGGAGTTGCTAGTCATTTTATTATAGAAGAGAGATAAATTAGAATCTAACAACCACAGGATAAGCAAGACTGCTGTGAAAGGCTGGCCTCTGGACATGACATGGCTATTGTACATGTGAACCCACAGCAGGTGCTGTTATTACATAAGACCTACAGAAGATCAAGTGAAATTAATATTCCAGCATGGAGGAAGGAGGGGCTTTTGATGCCCTTCCCTGAACTAAGGAGCTAATGGCAGTTAATGGCTGCTAAAGAAGGGTGTGGCATTTTTCATTGTGTGTGAGAAGGTGGGGTAGTCATTGGTACATAGCCCAAGAACCAGTGGATGAACCTACACATGTGCACATGTGGGAATCACGAAATGGATTTAGTGGCTTATAAAGCAACAACATTACTAAATAAATAAATGAATAAAGTCATTAACTTGGGAGGGAGTTGGGAATATGTTGGGGCATTTGGGAAGGGGTAACTAGAAGGAGAGAATAGGGAGACATTATGGGGAGGCTACAGGGAGAGCTGGAGGGAGTTAGTAGGGGATGGATATGACCAAGAAACATTGTATACATGCATACAAATTTAAAAAGAATTTAAATGATTAGATTATTATCCTCCATTCTATTAATTTCTCCTTTTTAATGCATGGTTGGGTCAAATTATTATTAGGTATTCTGATAGGTTATTATTTTGTTTTGGCAATAAGGTATGATAGTTCAAAAAACTTACATGGAATTAAAATGATCAACTGAAGTATGAGAAAATAAGTTTTATAACACTTTTTGTGCCAGCCCCCTTTGTAGTAGGCAATTTTGTAATTTTCCATTTTATTCTATTGTTTGTTAATTTCTGAGTTTTCTTGTATCAAATCTTCTTTTATATTTTTCCTGGAAAAAATAATTTCCAGACAGCCAGGCAGTGGTGGTGCATGCCTTTAATCCCAGCACTCAGGAGGCAGAGGCAGATGGATCTCTGTGAGTTCAAGGCCAGCCTGGTCTATAGAGTGAGTTCCAGGACAGCCAGGGCTACACAGAGAAACCCTGTCTCGAAATACCAAAAAAAATCCAGATACATATCTGTAGTTTTCCTTTTATAATTTTTAAAAATTCAATTAAAATATAATTACACCACTTTCTCACTTCCCTGTCCTCCCAGCCCTCCCTGTCTCTCCCTTCATCCCCTCCCTTATCTGTCTCCTGAGGACTCCCTCTCCAGTTCTCCAATTGATGGCTTCTTTTTGATGATTATTTATGTATTTATAATAAATACATAAATACATATACATAAATACACCATTCTAAATATTTTTGACTTTTTGACTTTTGACTTTTAAAGACAACTTCTCACTCTGAAGCCCAGGCTGGTCTTAAACTCAAGAGCCTAAGCTTTCACTTCCTGAGTGCTGGGATCACATGCATGTATCATCATGCCTGACTGATAATTTTAATGATAATAAGAATAATAAAAATGCCAATTGGTAAAACCTAAAGCTCTGACATATGCCTATGGCCAGTTGCCTTCCTACAAATCAGTAAATACTATCAGTTTCTACAGTTATTTTCAAAGTCTAAAGCTTTGATTCCTGTGATCACTTTGCTCTGATTGAGAGCTGATGATTTTTTAATCTTATGGGACAAAGAAAATAGTCAATTTATATTAACACATTGATTCCTCCTCCCACTTTTTGTTAGCTACATTAGTACTTTTAGTTCCTCAACAGGTAACTTTTCCCCTGAAATACATTGATTTTTGATAATCACTATTACTTCCTACTGTTTTGGTGCATACATGAACCAAGCAATTTTAAGTAGATAAGATTTACTATAAAAATAAAAATTAAACCCATAGCTTAAAAGCCCTGCACTACTAATTATACTAACATATCAAGATTATCAAGACAGTAGATATAATTTTTGATATTTTACTAAAATATTTGTATAAGCTTCAGTATTTCATAAGTTAAATTGAGCCACATTTCAAGCTATGCTTTGAGTTTACTGAATTAAGTTTAAATATTTGTGTATATGAAATTAGATTGGCTTGTATTAAAAAGCTAAGATGCTGGCAAGTTTATAATTGAAACTAAGTTTTTATTATTTTTAATGAACTGCAAGAAAGTATAATTTTAAGTAAATAAGACGGCTTCCAAATTTTCTGAAAAATTCTGCATGTCTATGCTTGCAGTATAAATTCCTTTTTATTTTTAAAAGGAGATTAAATCATATACAATTGTGAAGTTCACAACTATAAAGTGTGTATAAATAGTTTGTGTCATCTGGTCTAATCACCTAAAGTCCCATAAAGTGGATTTAACATATGTAATTTTTTCCCTATGATAACAATGAAAAATAATTTCAAAATTAAACAGTGCAAGAACACAGTTAGTGGCCTAAGATGAATAATCATGCCCATGTAGATCAACATTTCTTGATAACTAGACTAGTAATTGTTTTGCATTAACATATAATGGAAACCAACATTCAAATACACATAATTATATGCCTAGCATAGAACAGATACATAATACATGATAAAAATTATAATTACTTGATATCATAGTTATCAAAAAGATAATCAGAAGCTAAAACAGACATATTTTAAGATAGCTTAAACATGTAATCAATTATTTCAAATTATCAATTTTAAAATTATTTTTGAGATTATAATATAATAACATAATTCATTTCTTTCCTTTCCTTCCTCAAAATCTTCCCAAATAGCTCTTCTTTCTTTCTCTCTCTCAAATTCATTGCCTCTTTTTTCATTAACTGTTATACATATTATATATTATACTTTCTATAGTACATGTATATATATATATGTATGTATATATATATATATATATATATAAATATATATGCACTAAGCTAACCTGCTCAGATTGTATAAGTTACTTGTATGTATGTTTTTGTGGCTAACCGTTTGGTATTGGATAACCATTTGGTGTGCTGTTCTCTGAGGAAGACTATTTCTCTTGTTCTCAGCATAGTTACCAAAATTTTAAGGAACAAACCTGAATGTATTTAATGACATTTAAAAAATATTTGGACAGTTCCAAGAGTAAGTTTAAGCTTGTTTAAGCCTCCACAATGGCCTCAAATCACAAGTTTTATGCCATAAAAGCCCTAATATTTAGAATAATACTTTAAATGCCTAATATAAAGTATTTAGGATTATTGTGAAAATCAGTTTCCTTTAAATGAAATTCTAAAAATACTGAAATGTATTTTGCAGTTAAATAACAAAATCTAGCAGAATACATAATAATTGCCATTATAAGTTATCAGTCCAAATTATATTTTTAAATATTTGACTTGGCTAGAATGTGATTTGAACATATCAGTAAATTTAACTGGTAAAAAAGTCCCAAGTACTGTTATGATTTCTTAATTCATTAATTTTCACTCTAATGCATTGATAAATTAAAGGTAGACATTAATGAATATGATGTATTTTTAAATGGCCAAGAATGTTTTGATAGAACTTTTGAGGGTCTCTACCCTATTAGAAAAAGACAATTCTGAAAAAAAAGAAATGTAAATGCAGAGAAAGACAAAGGCAAATAAGAAAACTGATTCTAGAGAAGAGAGATAATTTGGAAAAAGAGGCAAAGATTAAAAGTAAATCTACATAACTATTCAAGAAAGTACATCTACAACAAAAACAGTATTAAAAGTGGGACAAAAAGTCTGCCATATTAAAAAAAGAACAACAAGTACCAACAGGCAAATAGAAAATAATTTTGAGGAATATAAATTGACAGCTAAGCTATTGGAGGAGCTTTCTAAGTTGAAGACAGTCATGGGACTACATATTACTAATTATGCAGATTTAAAGTGAATACAATGTTTGCTCATTACTAATATAGCAGTATTTTTTTCCATCTTGAGTTTTAGTTTTCTGTTCATAGATTTCTTTAGCTCAGTGGTTCTCAGTTGGAGGCTTGTTCCGCCACTGGAATAAATATCTGGCAACATCCTCAGACATATTTTGGGTCATAGCTATCAGATGCAGTATTGTCATCTACAAAAAGTCCAGGATCCTGCTAAAATACCCTTCTGTATGCAGGGCATATCCTATGACAAATAATATTTTGGCCTGAGAAAGTGCTCAGGTTGAGATACTCTGCTTTAGTGAAGGATTGTTGTTGGAAGGATCAGAGATAGCATTGCAAACTATGATGAAACACTGAATAATGGCATTTACCATTTTATAATTAGGTTAAAATACAGACCACTAATTCTCTTAGTTTGTAAGGAGTCATTTATTTACTAATTTATTAAATTATATTTTAGTGTTACAGATTGCAAAAGAAAAAATTACCTGCATATTTCTCTCACAATAATTCAGACTCTGTGCAATAAATGCCACAGCTACAGATTGTTTTGACTATTTGTATGTACTGTCTTGGCAGTTTACTGAGAAAGAGATGAATTGAGACTATGGTGAAATACTCAAAAGCTTAGTTACTACTTTTAAGTGCAGGAATTCCTTTCAAAACATTAAAGGAATTTGAAAAAGGTTTCCCTTGGAGATTTAAATAGTCTATTTTGGCAAAACATTAATTTAAAAATCATTTCCCCAGAAGGCAGCCAGATACATCTAATTTGTAACTTAACAATTAAAATAGACACTATTGTGGTGGTATTGTTTTCCCCCAAATATTGTGTACCCTAATAAATTTATCTGGGGTCCGAGAACAGTCAGCCACTAGATACAGAGGCTAGAAAATGGTGGCACTCATGCCTTTAATCCTAGCAT